TTTAGTCAGCTCTTGAAAAATTGGTTCCACTTTTCATCTTGCAAATGTTGGTGCCTTTCTTTCTATCTGCTCTGTACTATCCAGGCTTGTGTTTCTGGGATATTCACACACAAGTTCTGCCTCTAAATAGCCTAGCACATACCTAGAAGCTATAACAAAAATATACGCAAGAGTATATGCTTATAGGGACTGGGGACAAGTCAGGCATGTGCTTCCTTCTAGGATTCATATATTACCCCGAATACAAAGTGTAGAGTTCGGGTCCTAGTAAATATTACCCCCCTCCACTATCACCACCCACACAAAATACAAGGTACCAGATGAAGATGGTTTACAGTTGAATTAAGTGTGTGGAGAAACACACCAGAGAGTCCTGTGGCACCTTAAAGACTAACATTTATTGTTACATAAGCTTTTTGTGCATCAAAACTAACTTTGTCAGATTCATGAAATCTTTCTGGAGAGAACAGTACATAACCTCCTCAAATACTATTAACTGTCTATCCAGTTCTTACTGGATGCCACTTTATCTTGCTACCTCCTTCCTTTCAAAATAAATGGCCTGCTGAATTTTGGACATTATATATATATACACACACACACACATGCTATACCCCATTTATTACAAGAGGATCAGATTCCTCTTAGCCTAAACTAGAGAAGCTGTTCATCTCTGCAGAGGATTCAGTGAGTGCAGCTTTAACAGCAATGTGATAACGTCAGTTTCAAAACAATTTGAAAGAAGTTATGCAGAGTTCAAGGTCCTTCTCATTCATTTTCTCAACTTTCTGAGTTGCTAGGATGTTTGTTTTAATAATAGTGAGAGCTGTTTCAATTTCCTTTTACACTCTACAATATACTCTTAGAGCAAATTTATATTTGGATCATTATCAGGTCTCACTCAAATGAAGTATGAGTACAACTGCCTACAGATAATCAAACCTTATACCCTAAGAACTTTTACCTTATTAATGGCTGGACAAGTAATTGTCTCTGTAATTTATCATCACTGGACTCTTCCATTCTATTTCCCTCACCACCACTGGAGCTAGCACAGTGGCTTGGCTACCTTGTGGAATATTCTTTGCCAAGCACCACAACACATTTGGGGAAATCTTTTCCCAGCTTTCTATCGAAAGAATGTGCTTCATAACCCCCCCCCCAAAGGAAGGCAAACAACATAAACTAACTTCACCCAATTCAGATAGATGCAAACATAAAAATAGTTTTATGAATCTTCCACATTTGTCATTTAGAATAATACAAGCGGGAACTAGCAAGGACTTGTAGGGGGCCTCTCATTTTCTCCTACCCCATTATTTCCTCTTTCCCCCCTTCCTGAAAGCCCCCATAGATGCTCCTTTCCTGCTTCTTTTCTATGGTTGCCAGCCCTCAGGCATGGCCTGGAGATCTCCTGGAATCATAATGGATCTCCTAAACAGAGATCAGTTCCCCTTAGGGTTGCCAGCTTCAGGTTGGGAGATTCCTGGAGATTTGTGGGTGGAGCCGTGAAAGGGCAAGTTTGGGGAGGGAAGCAACCTCAGCAGGGTATAATACCATAGGTTCTACCCTCCAAACCAGCCATTTTCTCCAGGGGAACTGATCTTTGTCATCTGGAGAACCAGTTGTAATTCTGGGTGATCTCCAGCCCCTACTTGGAGCCTGGCAACCCTAGTTCCCATGGGAGAAATGGCTGCTTTGGAGAAGAGTCTATGGGACTGTATCCTTCTGCAGTGCCTCCCCTCCTCAAGCACCACTCTTCCCAGGCTCCACCCCACCAAAATCTTCAGGAATTTCCTAACTTGGAGTGGGCAACCCAATCTCCTTTCCACCCAACAGCCAACCTACATTTATTGGCCCCTCTGTCTAAAGCAGGGGTGTCAATTTGTTATGAGGGCCGTATTGGACATAAATGAGGTCTTGATGGGCTGGGCCATGTGTGTTATAAAATGTAATGCCAGGTAGCTGTGATATAAACTTTATAAAGGACACAATTAAAAAGTTTTTAAACTTTAAATAAAACATGTATAAAACACTAGCACTCTTGCAATATTTTGTCTATTTAACAGTCTCTGATAGGTGACACCTCTTGCTCTGAATTATTGTATCAAAATGTCTGTGCTGTAGCATTCTTGTTCAGGTGTGTATCTGTAAGCTGCAAACCTACTTTTGATTTGACAGTCATTACAGAAATCTCATGCTCAGTGTTCTGAACCTAGGACTCAGGGAAAAACATGAAATGGCTGGGAATTGTGAGCTTTTGTACATAAGTCGCTTAATGTGCTGGTCGAAAACATGAGAAGGCATCCTGACACAGACTGAGGGCCATGTGTTTGTCTACAAAACTATACTCTTCCCCAGAGAAATAACTACAAGTTCCTACAAAGGAAATGTGCTGGGTGAACCCAGTCTGGACACACACTCTCATCCTAATCCATCTCACTGGTTTGTTATTCTTCCTTTAAAATAGTTCACATTGCTCTCTTACTGAGAAAGACTGGATCATGAGGGCATGAATACAGTGAAAAGGGGGAAGGAACCCAGCTGCAACCAGGAAAGCCCTGGCATAACAAGCCCAACAAAACACACATACACTGTAGCAAGGCACACAAAAGCTCAGACCTTGAACAAAACTTTCTTGGTCTTAAATGTGCTCTTTGTATTTCTCCCGTGTGATTGAGGCACCCCAGCAAAGCAAGTTCTCCCTCATTCCCTCCCTCCTTTCAGAGATGAGCCTCAGCCAGTGGAAGGAATGAAAGACTTCCTTTTGTCTCCTGCAGCCTGGCCAGGAAGCAAGCTCTATCTTGTTCCTTTCCTGGGAGGACGAGGGGGAGGAGCCTCAGCCAGTGTTTTACCAGACTCAATTGCACAGGAGAGGCTTGCCTATCCACATGTTTGACACCCCTGGTCTAAAGCTTTTCCTTCCCCAGCTTCTTAATAGGAAAACTGTGGGCCACCTGTGTGGTGCAAACTACTGCACCAGGCCCACTTGTATGCGAGAATCCTCAAGGACTCGTGGGAGAGCACCTCATTTTCCCCTGCATCCCCCTCCCCACACTATTTCCTCATTCCATCCTCCTGGCAACCCTCATACCCTCTCCTTGCCTCTTTCTCACCTTCTCAGCCATTCACAAACCTATCTTTTATCTACTTCCCATCTTCAGTGATATTTACTATTTGCTTCATTTAGACCCCACCTTTCTGCACAGCGGGGACCAAAGCAGCTTACATTATGCTCCACACAACAACCCTGTGAAGTAGGCTAGGCTGAAAGTATGTGACTGGTTCATCACCCAGTGAGCTTCCACAGGAAGATGGGTGTTTGAACCTGAGTCTCCTAGACCATACTCTGAAGCTCTAACCACTACACAACCTTGGCTTTCATAGGGTGGTTGCTGTTGAACAGTAGCAAGCAGCCAGGCCTAGTTCAGTCATGCAAGTCAGGTAGTATCAGGTCACAGAGGTTACTTCCAGACCTAGGGTTGCCAGCCTCCAGGTGGGGACTGTAGATCTCCCAGAATTGCAACTGAACTTCAGATGACAGAGATCTATTCCCCTGGAGAAAATGGCTGCTTTGGAGGGTGGACTCTATGGCATTATATTCTGCTGAGGCTTTTCCCTTCCCTAAACCCTTCCCTCCTCAGACTCTACCACGAAAATTTCCAGGAATTCAATATTCATGTCCCAGTGTTCCCCTGTAGCTCACAATTCCAAATCTAACCACTTATAAAGTAAAATAAAGACCCAATTAATACCCCCAAGAAGATACCAGTAACTTATACACCCTTAAAAGCCTTACTAAATAAAATGGCCTCACTGTACTTTCTAAGCACAACCCTCCTCAGGAATGCATTCCTTAAGATGGGAGCTACTATAGAAAAGCATGGGCACTAGTAGATTCCAAGTTGGCTTCCTTAAGCAGGCTAACAGCCAGTAGCTGGCAATCTGAAGACCATAAAAGCCTGTAACTAGTAAACTGCAAGGAGTTCCAAAAGATCAGCACTCTACTACATTCAAATGTATGAATTTCTTAGTTCTACCGAGGAAAGATTTGTAGATCAACACAAGAACAAGAGCAACAGAAATGAGGTAAGTTTAATTTTCAATACACAACATTAATAAATGCATCACATCAATAGTAGTATTTCTTCCTGAGTTTTCCATGGATATAAAAAAACAGTAACTATGAAGTACATTACAACTATAACAGCTTAAACGTATTCTTTAAAACCAACATAACGGCATGATGCATTCCTCACATTAACCACCACTTTGTCATAACAGTATGTATGAAATATTTAAAAAATTCACACCTAAAGGAAAAATACAAAGCTGCTCTGAGAAGCAGACTTGGGAGAATTCGATTTTTTTTCTTGTTTAATTCATTCTCCTTCTTGCATAATGGACACACAGGATATATGGATCTTTTTAAAAAGCATATTCTCCCTGTTTTTCATAATTAACTGGCCTAAATTTTCAAAAGCTGCAAACAAATTAAATAGCAATCTTAATTTAAAAGGGAATTGTACATGCTGGGCTGAACAGGTTTACCACTTTCAGTAAAGCGCTTTCTTAGAGTACTCAAGATGGTCATTAATTTGTGTTAGCATAGACAATTGTGGAACCATGGGTGTTCAGAAGCTACTGTGTATGCTACATTTAAAAACAATGATTTTGCTCCCATCAGCTGGTGTTGCACTATACTGGAGCTTGCACGGCTTAAGACAGACTGGGCTTCTTTTGGACTAATTCTGTTGTGCCTCCATATCCTGCCTTTCCCACAAGCCACAGCTGAGTTAAGCAAATAGAAGTAGATAGTCATGGGATAATACATGTAATTTCAGGCCATGAAATTAGTGTATGCCAATGCCCAACTTCAACTTTAGACTGATTATGGAATGCATGTCCCAAGATCACACTTTCCTTAACTGACCAAAATAAAAACCTGTGTTGGACTGGTCTATCCAGCTATAGGGTACATCCCCAAAAAACCCCCCGGAACTGCTTATCACAAAAGCTGCAAACTTTTGTACAAGTAGAAGTTCAGCACCGTACCTGAAGCAAGTCTCATCAAAATAATAAAATACCAAATAATTAGGTGCTTTCCAAGTGCTTGCTTGTGAGATCGACAAGGAAATATTGATTGCAAATACACAAGACACTTTTGTTCAAAAATTCTGCACAATCCTTGTATTAAGGAAACAGCTGTGATATTAACACACCAAATTGGGGGTAGGGGGAGCTTATGTAAGTGACTGGGAGAATCAGGTGCTTCTTAGTGGGACAAAGGGGAGGCGAGGAGGACAGGTACTATGTATACATTCCAATTTCTTTTTTTTTAAGAATCATTTGTGCTGACAGTTGACACGCAAAGGCCATAAGCAGCAAGAGACCAGGCATCCTAATGCTTTTCAGCACACATTTACCTAGGGCTAGCAGCACAGCACGACTGCTGCACTGAGCCTTGAATTCCCTTGTCCTTGGAGTCACAGCCTATTCAAAGCACCACCATGATGCAAGCACCTCTATAAGCTCTTTCCTATGGTGGGACTGCACTGAAGAGTGGTGAAGTATAAAACTTTGTCATTGCTGCTCAAACAAATGCAACATTCCATATTTCTCATGGCACATGTTTTGGTAGGAAAACCCCACCCCCAAAAGACCTTACAGATGTTACTATCATGGTAAGAATTTCCCAGGGCATTCTATATAGGAGCTAGGATAGTGAGAAGGTACACTCCTTTGAAAATGCTCAGAAAATTACATACTTCAAGTAGAAGCAATGTAACAGAATGACTTGGAAATCGGAACTACAAGGCAGACTTTGCTAAAGGCAGGAAGCCTTTCTATATTGAGGCGCTTCTCCCCAAAGTGCTTTTTGCCAATGCCATACTTAAGATGCAGTCTCCATCTGTGATGAAATGGGGGGGGGGGAGAGCAGATTACTTCTATGGAGATCACACTCTCATTGAAACAGCTGTGCCCCTATTCATTCTAAAAGCATGTTTCTATACATCCATACAAGTTAAGAGTAACATAACTCCATTCTTATAGGAAAGGTGAACTATGTGAAGCTTCCTGGAGGATGGGCTACCACCATTATATGGTAGATACAGGCAGAGTAACAGCACCATACAACTACTTCTAGCTCATTCGGTTATACTTCTACTAGCCAAAGGGCTGGTCATGGAAATGTATACTCTAGTTACAGAAACTGGTATGTAATTATAGTCTTGTTGTGTCATTAATACAGTAGCAGCATCTAAAAACTTTATACAATTCATTACATTTTTCAAATTTTAAAAAAGACATTTCAAGAAAACTGTCCTTTAAATCACTTCATTACAAGCTTTGTTCTACAAAGTCTTAACACTGATAAACCCAGAGACCTTTAAAATAATTATACAAAACTTGACACACACACACACACACACCCCAGTGCTGACAACTGGAGAATGAGTATCAAAGGGCAGCAGGAGTGGCTGGTTGGAATTCACTGTTTTTTGTGGCCTGACTCATAGCTCTGCGTTTGGCAAGGCGGGATTTTGAGGGGGGAGAAAGCTTCATGGAGCATATGGCCTGAGTGATACTTTCTTCCTCTTCACTGAGATGGTTCTCATGCTGGGAGAGCTGGCGGTTTAGAGCAATAGCCTCAGCTGCAAAGAGAGTGAGCTCTTTTGTGCTGCTGTTCCTGTAGGTGATGGAAAAAAAAAAAGATATACAGCCAGAGGAGTAAAAATGCAAATCTTAAAACTAGAAAAAGACACAAGGACTCTTCACTGTCTCGCTTAGAAATTCAGTTATTCCCAGGCATCCAAGAATAAATTAGAATAAACTATAGACAGTCAAGAAAATGGTACCCCTCAACTTCATCTTATACAGCCCAGTGTTTTCTCCCAATATCATCTGATAGGAGATATCCACCCTTCAATTACTATCCATCTCATTACAACAGGTGCTTAAGAAACAGTTACCTTTGAAGAACTTGTGGTGTAGGCAGTCCTCTTTCAGAAGCATTCTACACAAGATTGAAACATTGAAAAATAAGCTGAGATTCTTACCATAACAACTGTTTATCTGACGGATAAGCAGATGATTATTATGTTTCACAGCTCTCTATTTTCAACAGCCTTCCATGAGCAGGTTACATTTCACATGAATTATAGGGTGACACATGGAAGATTACAATGTACATTTAAATGTACATTGACCAAGTAGTAAAACAACAAAAGTAGCCACAAGGTTCTGAATATCATTCATGTCAATTACTAGAAGAATGTTGTTGGTAAGAGAATACACAGCCTTCCTGACACTGCTTTTGACAATGAATAGGAAAAGTAAGGATGCAGAATACACTTGCGTTCTTATGGGGAAGAAGCTGCACATTCAGGTTCTTGCATGTTACCTGCACAGATGACCACTACCTGATTTATTTATTTATTTATGATGTAAGAAGGGTTGGACATTCTGCATTAAGGAATGCAGCCAAGGGTACTTTGACTCCACATAGATAGGATTTCTCCATGGCACAGATAGGTCCTGTAAAGCAGCCTACATACTCAGATTATGCTGGATAAGTCAGGGCTTTGGAAAGTACTACTTACCCCTTGCACCCATGGATGTTGCAGAACCTGAGCAGCACTCAGTCGCTCTTTGGCATCACGAACTAGCAACTTGGAGATCAGATCTTTGGCATCACTGGAGATATGAGACCAGTCCTTGTCAGGAAACTCATACTTGCCTTCTTGGATACTTTCAAAGAGCTTGTTCTAACAACAACAAACATTTGCTTGCTCTAAATTTTGAAGGTTAATTTTTTTTTCTGCTCAAGAAGCCTTAAAATCCTTACAATTCAACTTTCTACATTTAGTTCTAGGAATTCTGGAAGTTAATTGCTAGTGTAACAGTAGGACTGAAATTCTCCGTACCTTGTGCAGAACATGCACTCAACCAAGCCACTGTTAAACGTGGATCACAGTCTGTGAATCCTAAGCCTTTTATTTCACATGGGCTTGCCCAAACCAACTTTCTGTACAACTGTAAAAGTGTGACATTTGAGGCCCCATTCCTCATAACTGCATTTTATGACTCATCATAAAATAGCATGACCATTCCAGTAGTGAACATGTTGGTGGTCCACTACTGCAGATGTATATCAAGTTCTCAATCTACTTATCTAGTATTAGTCTGACTGGCAGCAGCACAATCAGAGGTCTGTCCAAGTCCAACCAGGATCCTGTTAAGTGCAGATGGAAGAACTGAACCCAGGACATTCTGCATGCAAATATTTCTTTTAGAGTCAAGTTATGAATTCCCCCATACCACATACTTTCCCCTTCCCTCTCCCCACCCTCAAATTTCACAATTCAGATTTGTTTTACATATGCAAAATAATTTCCTAGTCATCGTCCAGAGGAGGAGATACAGTTAGCTTGCTTGGGCCCTCTGTCAGAAAGAAACGTATTCCAATTGTCAGAGACTAGAAAACAGCAAGGAAAGGATACTCTTGCTGCCATCACTTGCAGAGAGAAAGAGATCATAGGATAGTTGCAACACATTTTTCAAAGCAAGATCAGCCTGGTACCGTCATGTATTCAGTAGCCAAGGGCAGTCCCATTATTTGGATCCAAAAACTCAAACAATGGGGACACTCAAGTGTAGGGTAAATGTTTCTCAAGTTCGCAGGACACCCCTAGACTGCTACTAGATGGGCTGTAGAACAGTTTTGTGGACACTACAATCATTTCTATTAGATCCCCAAATTTACTTAATTAGTTACCTGGCAAATTTTGCAGACTTCTCCTCTGTCCCAGCCACAGTCTGTACCACAATTCCCCACAAAAGGAGGATAGCCACTTAACATGATGTACAAAATCACACCCAAGCTCCACAGATCACAGCGCTTGTCATAGAACGTGGCTTCATCTGTGAATACTTCTACCACCTCAGGGGCCATGTACTCTGCAGAACCACACTAGTGTACGTGCAAAGAGAGATTACATTATAAAGTTAAATGAAGTAAGCACATTCAACAAGTAAAAACAGAAATATTCAAGGTCTTAGCATCTAAGAACATCTAAATCGCAGCAAATGCTGCTTTACAGTGCAAATTTATATGCTTGTTTTTTTGGAGAATTTGTCTTTGACAAGTTCTGTTTAAAGGCATCTAAAACCAAGTTTCTCAATATTTCCATTTCAGATTATAATTGCTATTATTTGCGCAAAGCCTCAAGGCTCTCTAGAATACCTGCTCTTTCACACAAAATTGGTAAGAATATAAACCCAACACAGCAATACATCCAGATGATTATTTTAAACACAAAAGTCCAGAAAAACTGAGGCAAGATAGTAGGCAAGTAGTAGAGTCAATGACCAGGAGGGAATCACTTAATTCTTTTGCCTAACGTAATATGAGAGAGTCCTCAACCTTCAGTTTGAGAGCTCTGTTAACCATCTCATGGATGCAAGGAAGTTAAAGCTCTGAAATTACAAACTGTTTGCTCTATGGCTGGCAGATACAGATATTAAACACCAGGAACAGTAAAATCTGCATGCAAATCTAATTCATACTTCTAAGACTATAGAAGAGCCTTATTCAAAAGATTTAAACCCACTGATTTTTCACTGATGGCAAGTTTCACGCTTCTTGCAAGTAAGCATCAGATTGCCTCCCACAACACTGGCAAACTACTGTGCCAGTTGCTGGGCAACAGCTATTGTAGAAGCAAATGAAGGCATGGAGAATTCTTAGGTACTTCGCAATACAGTATTTGAATGTGCATGCATGTTAGGCTTATGCCCACATGGGAAGAAATCAATGACCTTGGAGTATCATCCTCACTTAAGTACAGGACACATCACAATACCAAGTCTCCGTGAATCAACATCAGTGGCTGAAGTGACTGTGCAAAATTATGTTCACAGGAGACAATCTTCCAAACCCTTGTTTCAAAACGGGTGGTAAAAAAGCCTGAAATGAGCATCTCATGCATGTTACCCATTTTGAAGTTTAAAGGACTAGACTGCCACCTAGCATTTATTTGGTTGAGCACTCTTTGGTTTCAAGACTAGTGTGTGTGGTGCTCAAATTAATTAAACACATGCTAGGTATAGGGCTTGAAGCTCCAAGGATGAAGGCTGCATTTAAGTAGCAGACCTGGCCAGATGGGGTGTTCTGAGGCACAGTGTAATGCAGTTCTGCTAGATGCAAGGTAATCAGGGCTTCATGTTGTTGTTAATGTTTAACACTTCCCAATATACCAAAGTGTGCATGCAGGAGTGATGTAAATCAAATTTCTAAAAGAGGGCTGCAGAAGGTATCTATTTCATGTGAAAGGGATTTACTACAGAGAGCAAACAAAGTTGATGTTGCTTTATGTGCAACAGGTAACTGGAAAACTATTCAATAACACTTGCTCTCATTTAACTGCAAGTACCCCTTCCCTTTGACTTAGACCTTTCTAAGATCACCATTCCCAATGTTGCCTAAGGGTACCAGTGCCAGAGGTGGTGATCTGAGATCTTAATATCAAGAAGCACTGTAAATATAGCACTGGGCCCTCATAACTGTGCTTAAGGGATCAGGAATTGTTTATAAGACCATGTCCTTCTCATCCTTATCGGAGCAAATACTTCTCTCTATTCTCTCCTCCTGCTGCCCAAGCTTACAGCTAAATTTGGTTTTTCCACACAAACAAAAGAAGCCATGTGCAAGAGGCAGCTAACTCCCAAACTTCTATTTTGTGGCCAGAACACAGCTTTGGGCAAAAGGAAGCCTCTGCCTAAGGTCAGTGGCTAAATCATGATGTAATACATTAGCTCCTGAACAAAGTTTGAGTCCAGTGGCACCTTTAAGACCAACAAAGTTTTATTCACGGTATAAGCTTTCATGTGCAAGCAATTAGCTTCTGTTAGCCACGTATTGTGAAAGTGTCCAAGGCACATGTGCGTTTCATCTGTTAGAAGCATAATGCTCTGTAAAAACTTGTATATTCAGGGTGCTAAGTTTGTACCCATTACTTTTTAAGGGAAAATAGTTGTAAGAGAAGCTGGTTACATCAGCTAGCCAGGAACATGAAAGAGAAATGGGAGACAATTAATCAACATGTTTGAGATTCATCTTCTGAAGACAATTCTTGACAAGTACAAGAGTCAAAAATTTAAGAAACTGCAAGATCTCTTATTAATAGCATGATATGTCCAACATTTGTATAACTTTTAGACAAAGAATAATTTCAGTGACACCCCTCCTTCCCCCTGCATTACCACAACACAGCTAAGCAACAGAAGAATGTACTAAGCTACATACTGGAGTAGTCAATTCAGGTGTAGTTATTGGAGTACACGCACTGTTGAGCTTCACTCCACTCCCAAGATCAAAGTCACAAATTTTCACCGGTGAAACCTGAAATGGGGGAAAATGCACCAAGATGATGAACACAACTCTGAAGTAAACTAGACTTTAAAGACTAACTAATTGAAAACAAATCAGCCAGTATCATAATGCCTCTATATAACTCAATGGTGCGACTTCATTTGGAGTACTGTGTACAGTTCTGGTCACCACACCTCAAAAAAGTGCAGAAAAGGGCAACTAGAATGTTAAAAGGGTTGGAACATTTTCCCTATGAAGAAAGGTTAAAACGCTTGGGGCTCTTTAGCTTGGAGAAACGATGACTGAGGGGTGACATGATCGAGGTTTACAGGATTATGCATAGGATAGAGCAGGTAGAGAAAGAAGTACTTTTCTTCCTTTCTCACAATACAAGAACTCATGGGCACTCAATGAAATTGCTGAGCAGTTGGGTTAGAACAGATAAAAGGAAGTACTTCCTCACCCAAAGAGTGATTAACACATAGAATTCACTGCCACATGAAGTTGTGGTGGCTACTAGCATGGATGGCTTCAAGAGGGAACTGGATAAACATATGGAGCAGAGGTCCATCAGTGGCTATTAGCCACAAGATACAGATAGGAACTCTCAATCTGGGGCAAGTGATGTTCTGTATTCTTGGTGCTTTTGGGGGGGAGCAACAGTGGGAGGGCTTCTAGTGTCCTGGCCCCACTGGTAGACCTCCTGATGACACCTGGTATTTTTGGCCACTGTGTGACAGAGTATTGGTCTGGATGGGCCATTGGCCTGATCCAACATTGGCTTCTCATATGTTCTTATTTCTTAACAAGTTTATTTTAACACAAGTTTTCATAAATAAGAACTTGCATATAATGAAGTGGGTTCTAGTCCAAAGCTTATGCCAAAATAAAAACTGATTCGTCTTTAAGATGCCGCAAGTTACTTTGTTTTACTTCAACAGTAACAGAGCCTGAAAAACAATGAACACTGGCAAAGAGGAACTATAAAGCATGAACTACCTTATCATGAGATTCACACAGTATGTTTTCTGGCTTCAGATCTCGATGAGCAATACCTAAGGACAAAGAAAGAGGTCCTGTCAAACTGAGGGAGAAAAAACTATGACAGCATTTGCTTCTCAGTGTTCTCATAAAAACAGAATTATAACCAGATTGCTCATCAACTGCACCATGTACCAAAATAATCTCAAGGTACAGCAAAATATTAAGTGGCACTAAAAAGGTAAAGGTTCCCTTGCTCGAAAGCCAGTCGAATCCGACTCTAGGGTTGCAGTGCTCATCTCCATTTCAAAGCCGACGAGCCAGCGCTGTCCAAAGACATTTCCGTGGTCATGTGGCCGGCATGACTAAACACCAAGGCGCACGGAACGCTGTTACCTTCCCACCGAAGTGGTGCCTATTTATCTACTTGCAGTTTCTTGCTTTCGAACTGCTAGGTTGGCAGGAGCTGGAACTAGAGATGGGAGCTCACTCCGTCATGCGGCATCCGGGTCTCGAACTGCTGAACTACTGACCTTCCACAGCCTGCAGTTCAGCGTCCTAACCACTTGAGCCAAAAACTGGGCTAATGCAACAATGATCATCCTTGGGAGTTTAAATTTACTTCATGGCCAAAGTTCTCAAATCAGTTAACTAGAAAGAATTAAGAACATAAGACTAGGAGCAAGCCATCACTACCCCGCTAACTCTGTGAGGAATTTCAGACAGCCTATATATTCCATTTCAGGAACTGTTCACTAATGGTTTCTGTCTGTCATTTCAGACAAAACCATTTCAGTAACAGTTCCCTGATGGAATATGTTTACCCTGTCATACAGAAATGCTTCTGTCCCGTTGAGGAAACGTGGCTGAAGTGTTTTTACTATGAACTGCTTCCAACTGGTCTTTAAATCCTTCTACCGCTTCTGAAGCGCTATGGGGTGCTGTGTAAAATGCACCCGTGGCGCTTCCTGCGATGACAGCTCTTTTTGCGCCCTTTTTCTCCCCAAGCGTGATCATCCTTTTTTCTCTCAACGTTCCATTGGGAGCGCTATGGCGCTGCAGTAGGACTACAAATCAGTGCCATAGCGACCCCATTGAGATCCCTGTACGCCATTTAAATATACTGACGTTCACTACTGCATCTCAGCATGGATTTTAAAAGGTAATTTCAGGGCAGTCATTGTATTTATCATGTCTGTTTAAAGATTAAATCACTGAAAATAGCAATAAGCACAAACATACCAGCACAGCATGAAAAAGGAGGAGGAAGAGGGGCTTTACTAGTTTGGGCTTTGATGAATTAAAAAGCACCAGAATAGCCTGCTACCTGGGTTTCAAAACTGCCCGGTTCCCCCACACACACACACACTTGAATTCTGGATCCAGTGAGCTCCTTGTTTCCAAGGGACAGCAGTAGTGAATGTCAGTGTATCTAAATGGAGTCCAGAAATCTCAATGGGGTTGCTATGGCACTGATTTGTAGTCCTGATTCAGCGCCATAGCGCTCCTAATAGAATGTTTTAAAAAAACCTTTCAGGGAGATTGTGTGCGCGGGCGGGGGGGGGGATGGTGGGAAAAGAAAGTGATACAATGTTAAATAACAAACCGCTTCAGAGATGGCTCCTTACCAGAAGGGAAAGGCTTGGTGAAACAGCCGTCCCTGTACCGGTTTAGTCCATGACAGTACAATAACAGTTTTAAAAGGGTAATGTGATATTCCCCTGTGTGTGTCAGTGCACAGCTGTATGGTTGCTATTCCTGCAATCTGGATGCCCCATTCACCTTGAAAAAGGAATTGCCAGAGAGATTCCACAGCTTAGAGGAAGCAGTGTCCAAGATATTGTCTAACCAAGGAGCACAAGAGGTTCCCCACTCCAAAAGCTAAAGGATTTATACTTCTTTGCTGCCCTAACTCTCCTCAACTTCTCTGCCTTGTGAATACAAATTAGAGGCAATCAGAATTTCCTCCCAGAAGCCATGGAGTAAAATTTATTCACAAGGAAATATGAAAAGCTAATACAAAGAGGCTAAAGGGAGAAAGAAATAAAGAAAAAAGGAAAAGAGACTTGTTGGGTGGAAAAGTTCACTGACTCTTGTCTAACCAAGGTCCTGGTTTTTATGAATCCACTATGCTAGGGTTGCCCACCTCAAAGATTAATCCTTCTAATGATCATGAGCTTTGTCTCAGCTATTCTCTTTGGATCTTCTACCAGGGATCTCCAGAGAAAAGCTAAGCCTGGTTGTCCTCCCTGCTACCCCCAAATATTCTCTTGTAACATTCCCCCAGAATTTTGCACCCTGGTCCCTCCCCTCTTCTTCACCCATGGCTTCCTGTGATGCCTGCCTGGTGACACTCTATGCAAGTCTCTGATGCAGGGGTGTCGAACTCATTTCTTATGAGGGCCAGATTTGACATAAATTGGACTTTGTTGGGTTGGGCCAGGCCATGTGTGTCATAAAATGCAATGCCAGGTAGCAGAGATATAAACTTTATAAAGGACACAGAAAAACACAAGGTATTATAGCAGCTATTCCATTGGAGCCCCACATTGGGGGCTAATATTTCTCTGCAAAACTGGAGTCCGTTGAGTTTGCAGAACTCTATACTTTCACCTTGGCTGGTCCCAAACCTTTCCCCCACACACACACCCTTAAAATGTGCCTGCCTAAACTGGAAAGGTGGTGGGGGTTTATAGGATTCTGCAAAGCTAGTTTTAAAATTAAAAGTACAAGGATTACAGCAGTAGGAAAACACCCCCCCCCCCCCCCTTTCTTAGTCCTATAGTTGAATCTTTGGTTCTGTTTCCCGGGAGGCTACAGAACTCTGCTAGTGCTGTGGCCTTCTGGTACCGATAACTCTGTACATGCCTTTTGTCTTAGAGGATGTTTATACATTCCAGAAGTTAGTGGTGACACTATCAGAATCAAAATGGATAGGGAATATGAAACTAGCTTCCTTGACTCTCTGACTTTCTAAGAGCTTCCTGACCCCAGAGATAGAGAGAAGGGAGAGGGATTTGGGTCAGTACATCAGGTCAGTTCTAATCAGTGCAAGTTTGGCCTGTACCACATTCATGATAATCCTATGTGGTAGGTACATCAGCAGCTATAGGTCCAAGACAGATATATACCCCAGGGTTACTAACGCTAAGGGACTGGCCATCAACATCCCATGTGAGACCTTGGTGGCTAGTCCAGAACATTCTGGGTTTTATACAAATGCACTATTTTAAGTATTGGGTTTGTGTTGAAATATTCTATGTTGAATATTGAAATGCTACAAAGTGTTTTCTGTCTTAAGAGTGTGTAATGGAATAAATTGAGTTTTGGTTTAGAACAACTCTCCCTCTCTCTCTTGATGCAACTGAGATCCCTGCCAGCTTCTCTTCCTCCCCAATGAACACAGTGGGGATGGGAGTCCATGAAAAGATTCCTGAACTCCTAATTTCCCCAACAAAAGGATTATTCAGAAGCGCTGGAGAAAGTGTGATATAACAGTGTCAGACTTGGATATGGGAGACCCAATTTCAAAGAGTGACCCCAAAGAGTGATTAACACATGGAATTCACTGCCACAGGAGGTGGTGGCGGCTACAAACATGGACGGCTTCAAGAGGGAATTCGATAAGCATATGGAACAGAAGTCCATCAATGGCTATTAGCCACAAGATATAGATAGGAGCTCTCAGGATGGGGCAAGTGATGCTCTATATTCTTGGTGCTTGGGGGGGCAACAGTGGGAGAGCTTCTAGTGTCCTGGGCCCCACTGCTGGACTTCCTGATGGCACCTGGTATTTTTGGCCACTGTGTGACAGAGTGTTGGACTAGATGGGCCATTGGCCTGATCCAACATTGGCTTCTCTTATGTTCTTAAATCCTCACTCTGAGATGAAGTTGATGGTTGGGTGACCTTAGGCCTGTCTCTCACACATAGCCCAACCTACCACACTGGGTTATTGCAAGGATAAGCTGGAGAAGCACAGAACACTATTCTACCCTGAGCTCCTTGGAGGAAGGGCAGGATAAAGATGAACTAAATAAAGAAACTGGTTTCTCGGTGTCACACCTTCTGATCACCAGAGGAAACAAAAAAAACATTCTCAAAAATTTAGCCACTAGCTCAGTACCACATAGAACAACCCCTAAAGAATGCGACAAATGATCATTAATATATTGTACTGCTCTATATATTTTCATATGAATCCCTGTATTTAAACATGATGGATTTTGACTTTGCAGAAGGAAGGAAGCAGCAACACAAGGGACCCTGTCACAGTTGCCACCATCCTCAGGTTGTATAGGTTCCTGCCCCTCAAGCCCATCCAGGAATGAGGGGGGAAGCCCATACGTTTTCAATACATTAAACAACAACCCAGAAAGGTATGCTACCCTCTCTGGATTTCAGAACAATAGCCACCAGAATCTCTATTTAATCCCTCACCAGCCTGAGATTAGAGATTCCAGAATCTCAGTTGGCATCTGGGTTTTACACACTAGCACCTCTATCCAGAGGTGCACAATTAATCTTACACAGAGGTAGCTTATACGGTGAGCAGAAGGCACAGGGGTTTAGCCTTGAAATCTAGTTACAACAATACAGACAAGTTAGAAACCGGAATAAGTTTATTCAGTACAGAGCATAGACCAGAAGGATTTCAAAACAATAAATCTGAGGCAGTTCGCCTTGACTACACAGTAAGGAATACAGCCTTCATCACACAGCACTCATAACGACAGAAAACTCTTACATGCCCACACTATGCTTCTTGTATTGCCAGAAATGCCCAAGACTGAGAAAGTCAGTGTTGACATGGGATCGAACCATAGCATGACCTACTCCCATATGACAACATGATTTCAAACCAATTTTTCCCCTTAAAGTGGCATTTACACTCATGTCATTTGAGTTACTGAGCATCATCTAAAGGTAAAATGTCATGCAAATATGCAAGACATCTGTTAAAGCCACAGAGAAGAGAAGAAGAGATGGGATTTATACCCTGCCCTTCACTCGGAGTCTCAGAGCAGCTTACAAACTCCTTTCCCTCCCCCTCCCCACAACAGACACCCTGTGAGGTAGGTGGGGCTGAGAGAGCTCTTTCAGGAACAGCTCTGACAGAACTATGGCTTGACCAAAGTCACCCAGCACCTGTAAGTAGCGGAGTGGGAAATCAAACCTGGTTCTCCCAGATTAGAGTCCGCACACTTAACCCCTACACCAAACTGGCAAAGCAATATCTTTAAGTGCGCTATGTACTACACAGCTGTCTGGTAGAAAAGCCACATACTAGTAAAGTTATGATCTACATATTATAGCAGCTTCTAAGGGTGATGAAGCACAAGCCTACCATCTCAATTCTCAGAAGCCTACAATTTGAAGCAGCAAAATGCTTAGGTGTCATCTGTAGCAAATACTTCACCTTCTAGTTTAATAGCCTGTTGCCATCTCTTAATAAGATTTTTAGTACTACACAGCAGAACCATACACTAAATGAAAAATCAGAAATATTACAGAAGATTACTCTGCAAACATTTCTTCCTGTTACATCTCATCAGCCGCTTCTAAATTATTTTCTGCCAGAGTTATTTGTTACTGCTCGTCATTTCTTCACATGAGCAAGCAGAACTGAAAACTCTCAATGGACATTTTTAAAAACAAGCAAGTCACTTGACTCCAAAGCAGCTGATACCTACACCTGAAGTTACTTTAGCAACACTTACTATGCTTCAGAATTATTTCACAGATCAACATTCCCTTCCCTCCAAGTATGCTATACCTTCATTGCAAATATGGGCTGTATCTTCGGGGGGGGGGGGATTCCATTCCTTCTCCAGATTGTAATCCACTATAAACAATAGCCTTTAACTATGCTATACAATCCCTAATTAAACACTTATGGTCAAACACTTTCTTTTTTCTTTTCTTTTTTTAATCCCCTGAAGGCAGGGTAGCTTTATTATTTTTTGTTACACCTACAGACTAACAGAAAAGAAAAGGGAAAGGGAAAAGTATCCCAGGATAAAAGGACAGTAAATTAAACCCACACTATGACTAAAAACCCAAGAGGGAAGAGCCTTAACAGTTAGTATTCAGTTAGTATTAAAACTTATAACTTTTCGTTTAAATCAATGAATTAAAGAATTAGTCCATATTAGTATTTAATCCAGCTTCTCATGTGTGCACCGAGTCTCTTTCATCATCTTCATCATTTGCGAGTCTTTATTTTATAAAGAGTTACTTTGGTCCTCTATGTTGCAATTCATATGTCTCTCTGACCGAAACACCTCCCGCTGCACCTTGGTCTTCATCCGTATCTTCTACAATGCCTGCTCCGCCGTCTCCTTCCTGTTGTTCCTCTTCCTTCGATCCGAAATGCCGTTTCAACCATTCTTCCGCTTTTAAAACCGAGTCGATTTTCTCCCTTTTATCTCTGTATTTGAACACAACACCTTCAGGAAAAATCCAAGAATACGAAATTTGGTTGATCTGCAAGGTTGAAATCCGATCTTTATACACTTTCCTTTTCTGACGAACCTCAAATGGAGTGTCCTTTAGGACCTTGATGACTGCTGTTCCCAGCTGCAGAGGACTTGCTGCTGTTGCTTTAAGGATATCATCCCTAAATTAGGACGTCATCGGGCGCCGTCACCGGTTTCCACCGCAGTCGTCTGCCGCCAGGGATCGCTCTACTCGATCTTCCTCCACGCCGCACTGTGCAAGGTTCCGCCTCCGCCATTGATG